GCATTTCTCTGAGTTTGTCTATACTCTTGCACTTCCTACATGTCTTTGATGCAATTAATGTTGTTAGTTGTAATTCCTTCAAAGTAGGAGAGTAAAAGAAGTGTTGGAACCCATACATCTCATACTCTCCAATCTTCCCAACTAGGCCTGACCTGATTCTCGTTTCAATGAGATATGTAAGCAACCTTCGGGTTCGGTCCCCTTTTTAAAAAAATAAAAAAAATCAATCAAGGACCCTTATCGGGTTTGATCTCATCTTTCAAAAAATCAAAAAATACTCTAATCGTGCGGAGATTTTTCAATTCTTGTCTCTCCCATCGCGTGAAGGTATTACATTTCAGCCACTCCCATCGTGCGGAGTTTTTCAATTCTTATCTCTCCCATCACGTGGAGATTTACTGTTCTGTCAATGCTCCGATATCGCTTCAGAACTGTACACAGCCCATCAAATACTCCCATCACGTGGAGATTCGCATTATCTTTCCTGTCACTCACATCGCGCGGAGATTTACATTTCTGTCAATGCTCTGATATCACTCCGGAATGGTACATAGCTTGTCGAATACTCCTATTGCATGGAGATTCGAATTATCTTTCCCGTCACTCCCATCTTGCGGAAATTTACATTCATGCCAATGCTCTGATATCGCATCGGAACAATACACAACCCGTCGAATACTCCATCATGTGGAGATTTACAGTTCTTTCATCGCTCCGATATCGCTTCGGAACGGTAACTACAAAGCCCGTCTAACATTCCATGCTCCAGTATCACTTTGGAACAGTAACCACAAAGCCCGTCTAACAATCAATGTTTTGATATCGCTTCGGAATGGTAACTACAAAGCTCATTTTACATTTAATTCTTTTTATAAAAAATCATAAAATAAAATGATTAATTCAAAATTTCAAAAAAATGAAATGAGATGAAAATCAAAAATATTTTTTTTCTAATCTCCTGAATTATGCTTGACCTGATTCTCTTTTAACGAGATACGTAGGCAACCTTCGGGTTCGGTCTCTTTTTTCAAAAAACCAAAAACAATGATTAAGTCAAAAAATTCAATATATATATATATATATNAGTTAGGAGTGTGCATGGGAAAGAAAGAGTGTTAAAAGTAGTATGATAGAGAAGATCAGCTTTGGGTAAACCATAGATTCCTGTGGTACCTCTCAATTACGCAGTAGTGACACTTGAAAAATCTCGTGCTTACTGTTAGGGTAAGAACAAAGTCGACCTCATCATTTCATGTGCATTGTGTGGCGAGCCTTAGATTAAAATTCATGACATTGCATTGCTGATCTAGAACTTAGCCCGAATATTTGTTGGGGAGAAATCCTGAGTGATGCTTGGTTTAGGAAAGGATCGTAGGCCTTCTTTGACCCGTTTGATCCTTTCGAGCCCACCGAATGACATCAATCCCTAGTAATTTCCCTTTGAGCCTTAAGCCTTTTCCTTAGAAAACCACATCTTAGCCTATTCCCTTTCTTGTTCTTAAATGCACTACCCCTCTCTTGGCCCAACCTCCTTGCGCGCACTGAAAACGTGTAACTTCGGATGAAGACCAAAGTGGAGGCGACAAGCATGAAAAGCGATAGATGCAAAGTCCAAGGCAATAAAGATATGAATTCAAGAAAAGAAAGAGAAAACTTTGCATATTCAAATGGAGGATCCAAAAAGGAGGAGAAAACTTCCGCAAATTCAAGGGAAAATCCAACAAAAAGGAGAAAACTCTACAAACTCAAAGAGGAGGAATTCCAACAAAAGAAGGAAAAACTCTTGCAAAGCAGGTTAAATCTCAAAAGAAAGAAAAAAAAGGAAAAAGTTTCGAGGAAGAAGAACCTCCGACAAGTTAAAAAAGAAGTCAAAACAAAAGAAAGAGACATCGAGCCGAACAAGATCAAGCGCCGAAGTATGGTTTGAATACCGAAGGCACAGACACATTGCAACACTCAAGGAGGATCAGTCAGTTTATCCCAAAATAATAATCTAACCCATCCCCAAGCCTACATTATAAGCTAATAGCAAAACCCTACATGATACTATTTCGAGTGTTCTCACATTAGTGGATACTTACATAAAGGTCAAGCATATGGTATCTCAATCGCATGCATTGAACATCTTTTTGAGCGTGAGTGTAGTTCTCAAAAATGTCCTAAAAAGAAAACATAAATACTTCATAAATATGCACAAATTAAGACTTTCTTTGTTGTGAGGCACTTGAAACATGAGTATAGGCGGAATTCAAAACCTATGATTGAAGCAAGACGAACAAATCTTGTCGAACTTGGGTATATCTGAGGTACCACTCGAGGTTATAGGAATTACCCATAAGCTGATCTCGGTTTGTCGGAAAGTATATGGTGGAAATTCTTATGTATAAAACTAATTGTTGGTACCAACCAAAGTCAAGTTAAAAATGATGACCAGTCAATAAATCACAGTCTTTCATTACTTCTCAATTTTCAAATATTCTCTACAAAAGCTACAAAACAGCAAAAAAACACAAAAAAAACAAAAGAGTCATGTTTTGTTGACAATAACGTTAGGTTTTGTTGTAGCAGAACTACGCCCAACCTGACTTCCCACGGGAGGATACGTAGGCAACCCACGTAGGGTCTGATCCCACTCTCTTAATAGAAAACTAAAATATCATTTCTATACATTCAGAACTACGTCGCGACTTGATTTCCTTTGGTAGGAATACGTAGGAAATCCACATCAGATTCAATCATCTATCATAATAGAACAACCTTTTGGCCTGATTCCATTTGGATACATATGCAGTCTGAGTCAGACCCGGCCATATCATTTCCAAATTCTAGCCTTTTGCATCTATTGCCTTACTAAGTCATTAATAACAGAACCCTTTTCATTAATTTTCCTACATAGAAAAAAATAACTTCTTGCTTTTTCAGGCGCCCTCCTGAACAATGGGCATTTTATTTCAAGTTCAATTTTACAGGCGCCCACCTTCCAATACGGGTATCTTAGATTCAAATGATTCGATATCACTTCGGAACCATAACTACCAGCTGGTTTTACATTCAAGTTCTCTGATATCGCCTCGGACCGGTACTCAGCCCGAATTTCCATTTTTCATTCAAATGCTCTGATATTGCTTCGGACTGGTACACAACCCAGATTTCCTTTAATAATCCAAAGTGCTCTGATATGATTTGGACCGGTACACAACCCAGGTTTCTTCAAATAAAGTGCTCCGATCACTTCGGACTGGTACACAACCCGGATTTTCTTCAATAATTCAAAGTGCTCCCATATCGCTTCAGACCGGTAGCCTACCCGGATTTCTTTTAAAAATCCAAAGTGCTCCGATCACTTCAGACCGGTATTTAGCCCGAACCTCTTTCGAATTAGACTTCAACCTGGGACCCTATTTCATTCAAAAAAATCATCGTCACATACAATCAGCGCTCAAGCCACTACAATCCATCTTCCTCAAATCAAACAGAAGCATAGTCCACACATCATCAACTCCATTGATTAAAGACCTGCCACAACGTGGAATTATTTTCTAGCAAATAAACTGTGGCAGATTTTGAGGATGGATGTCGAGCTTTCCAACAACAATAGACGGCATGTCCTAAGTATCGTTCTTACGTTCTATTAACATGGGATGTGTAGGTAATCCAAGTCATAGTCATAATAAACCCAGTATCATCACAGCTTGAAGCTGGCACAACTTTCAAAATCTAAAAATTAAAAATCATCCCATCCCCTTCTCGAACTACAATCGTCCTGATTCTCGTTACATCCGAGATATGTAGGAAAACTCAACACAGAGCCTGGCCGAATCCACATCAAAATCCATTCAATCAATATATCCGTCCATTCAACACCACGTCCCAGTGTTACCACAACCCGACACTGGGGCAATTTTGAAAGCAATGTCAAGATCACACGAATCCTTTCGTCCTTGAACATTTGTCTTCCACCCCATGAGGCTACAATCCAAAAGTAGCACTCAGTTGCATTCCGAAACTACATGCGACTTGATTCTCGTGCAACCCGAGATATGTAGGTGACACAAATACCAGAGTTCAATCACAATCTTCAAAACCTCATCATCCCCCCCACTCTGTCATGTCGGGTCAAAATTGAGTATGATATCAATTATTTTGCCCGAAGACTCTTATATCATCTCCGGTCAAAGAGGGACAGTAGTTGACACTCGATTTTGACCCTCCGTATTTAAAAATTAACTTCTACAGGCTTCCTAATCAAAAAATGATAAAATGTAGTATCTTGCACATTTTTTAACTGTAATGAAAGTTATTGATAATTATTCCCATTTTTATAAAATATAGGAATTTTTATCATTTTATTACAATTGGTTAAATACTACTATTTTTGTGCATTTTTCTAAATATCAAACAATTTATTGATAATTGTCTTATTTTTCAAATATTATGATATTTTATCAATTTATTGTCCTTCAAAAAATAAACAAGAATTTACTACGTCATCGTAGTAGTTACAATTTTAACTAAATACTATGAGATCTTTTAATCTATAGAACAGTCTAGTGATTATATGGAAGCCGGTAGAATTTATTCAAAAATACGGATCAAACCCAATCAAATCCAATGTTGCATCAACACTCGATGTAACAAGACATCCTGGCGCGACTTGACAAGTGATGTGACTTGTATGACATTATACTTGATGTGACACGTCATAGGATGTGACATGACTGTATTTTGTCCAATGCGTATACCTTCTACCCAACAGGTAAAGATCATCGGTTTGTCTTCTTTTGTAAGTCAAATAAATTGCACCGATATACATGTGCATACACAGAAAAATAAAGGGTACACGGTACTTTGCCCATAGTTTTCATAGTTAGTGGTTTCATTTTAGGCCACATGTTTATTTTTACATTGTCTTTATTTTTTACTTACAATAATAGCCACATATCTTTTCTACACATTCACCATATGCGATTTTTTTACACACTCATATATTTTAAGGAACACATCAGATTTGTTTACCACCAAAACAAATAATCTCTCTCCCTCATTTTTGCCTGAGGCTGTCCATTCCCCTCATTAGCTCCATTTTCAGAGGCCTCCCCCTTTTATCTTCCATCTGATTTCTCTCAACTTTGAGAAAACACGCCCAGCCCCCCTTCCCCACGATGTTGTAACTCCACCGTCGGATTTGACCCCCGGGCCGGTGACCTCCCTCTACATCACTGACCATCTTCATCTCCATTTGCTTATAGCTTTTCCGGTGACTGTTATGGTTCACTCAGATCTAACTAAAAATATATAGATCTGGTTGGAAAAAATGACCTTCACTAGCGACCATATCTCGCTCCTTGCTGCCTTCGAGCTTTGGCCGGAAAAAAATAAATGCCAGCGACGTATTTTTGAGGTTAGGTGTTGTTCCGGAATTCCTCATCAAAGTAACGCCAATAGTCCACTGTTGTCGATCATTATTGTCGGATTCCTGAATGTTTACTATCATTTTTTTGACAATAAATCTTGTGCCTATAATTTTCTGGCAACCTATATAGTTTTCAGGGGAAGTCCTTCCCGCTCATTTTGCTACTGTCATAGTTTTCGTGATGAAATTTTTGTTATTCTAATCTTTGTTAAAAATCTGTTGATGTAATGAGCTCGCCGCTTATTTTGAGTATTTTAGCCTAATTTTCCCATTTATCGCTTATTTTATATTCGTTTGTTATTATATGACTTGCCGGGGTGGTTGGATTGGTTTCGGAGATGTTTCGGAATGAATTGGGATACTTAGTCCCAAGGGTGGAAGTCTAAGTTGGAAGAGTTAGACCGGATATTGACTTACGTGTAAATGACTCCAGAATGGAGTTTTGATGGTTCTGATAGCCCTGTATGGTGATTTTGGACTTAGGAGTGTGTCTGGATATTGATTTGGAGGTCCGTTGGTGATTTTGGCTTGAAATGGCGAAAGTTGGAAAAGTTGAAGTTTGGAGAGTTGAGAAGTTTGACCGAGAGTTGACTTTGTGGTTACTGAGCTCGAATTTTGGTTCCAAAAATTAGAATAGGTCCGTTGTATAATTTATGACTTGTGTGCAAAATTTGAGGTCAATCGGAGTTGGTTTGATAGGTTTCTGCATCGAGTGTAGACATTGGAAATCCATTAGTTCCATTAGGCTTGAATTGGTGTGCGATTCATATTTTTGATGTTATTTGATGTGATTTAAGGCCTCGATTAAGTTCGTATCGTGTTTTAGGACTTGTTGTTATTTTTGGATGGGGTCCCAGGGGTCTCGGGTGAGTTTCGGATTGATTGCGGATTGAGTTTGGCCTTTTTGAGATGTAGAATTTCTGGTGTTTGGTTTCCTTGTTCGCATTCGTGAATTGTATCTGGTTGACTAGGGAAGTTTGTGCTTCACGTTCGCGAAGGTATAAGGGGTTTGTGCATCTTGATCGCGAGAGAGGACTCGCGTTCGCGTAGAAGGATGAGGCAGGTTGGGCACCAGGCTTGTCGTGTTTGCGGGAGTTGGTTCGCGTTCGCATAGTCAAGGGATCATTGGTCATCGTGATCGTGAGGGAGGTCTCGCATTCACATAAGAGGATTTTGGGCAGTTGAGGATTTTTTGCTTCGCGAACGCGAGGCACTTTCCGCGTTCACGAAGAAGGACGTCTGGGCAGCAGATATTTAATTTTAAAAATGAGGGTTAGAGTATTATTTCACATTTAGACTTCGGGAGCTCGGATTGAGGCGGTTCTTGAAGGGATTTTCAAGGAATTGATTAGGGTAAGTGATTCTAACTCGGATTTGGTTAATATACATGAATCTATCATTGTTTTTACCATTTAATTAGCATTTTGGGTTGGAAAAATTGGGAAAAATTGTTGAAACATCATAAACTATATTTTGAGGATTTGAAAGGCGATTTGAGGTCAGAATTGGATGATTTTAGTATGGTTGGACTCATTATTAAATGAGTGTTCGGATTTTATAAATTTAGTTGGATTCCGAGACATGGGATTGTGGTTGACTTTTTGGGTTGACTTGTTGACTTTGGTTAAAGAACTTAGCTTTATCGTATGGAATCAAATCCTATAGCTTGCATTGATTATATTAAGTTGTTTGTGGCCAGATTCGAGTCGTTCGGGGGCTGAATCACGAGGCAATGGCTTGTTGGAGTTATTATTTGCACGGTTTGAGGTAAGTAATACTTCTAAACTTTGTACTGAGGGTATGAATTTGTGAACTACGTGTTATGTGATTGGTGTTGAGGTGATGCACATGCTAGGTGATGGGCGTGCGGGCACCTTGGTAATTGTGATTCGGTTGATTTTGTGGTACTGTGTAATTATCAAATCTTGTTGTTATTCATGAAACCTCCATGTGTTAGAGAAATTGAGCTGTGATCCATGCTAGAAATCGTGTTTGGGCTATATGCTGATACTGTTGGGACCCATCGAGGTCTTTTATGATTTTGAGTTATTTGTTTAAATTGTAATTATGTACGCAGACACATTCAACATTTGAATATCATATCTCAGTTTCTGTTTTCATTTATTGTTACATCATGTATCATTATTTGGGCTGATTTGCACGAGATTTGTGAGCTCGAGAGAGTGGAGAGATTGATGCCTGAGTTGAGGCCGAGGGCCTGAGTGTGAGTGATATTTATGGGATCGGACTGCACGCCGTAGCAGACTTTATTGATTCATGATGGGATTGGGTTACACGCCGTAGCATGCCATGTTGGCTTATATTAGCGCTTTGGCAGGATTCGTCCCTCCTGATTCTGACATACCAGCAGTGAGCACAGGTACCGTTCGAGTGCCGAGTGCGAGTGCTGAGTGATTGAGAGTGTTGAGTGATTGGGAGTACTGAGTGATTGAGCGTGCTGAGTGAGGTTGAATACTCCGAGAGTATGAGTATATGAATTTATCACTATGTTGCATTACAGTTGACATGCATATTTGACATGTAGACATAGAGATGTAACATTCCTTTTGCTAGTTATACTTGGCATATTTTATCAGTATTGAGCCTAAACTGTTGAACTTGAAAGCATGTCTATATTTTTGTACTATGTATAAACTGATTATGAAATTTCTCTGAGTCATTACTGTCATTTTCATGTTATATCTGTATTTTTGTTATCTGTATTTGGATTGTACCTTTTTTAGCTCGTCACTGCTTTCAGCCCAAGGTTAGTCCTATTACTTATTGAGTACACTGGGTCGGTTGTACTCATATTACACTCTGTGTGCAGATACAGGTGCATCTGGACCCGGTGGTTGCAAGACTTGGAGCATTACCTGCTTGGAGACTAGTGAGGTAGCTGCTATGGGATCCGTAGACCTCAACTCTCCTTCTTTTCAGTTTATTTAGCACTGTTCTATCTTTCCAGACAATTATATTAGAAGTTTTTGACTATGTTGACATTTAATAGCTCATGTACTCGGTGATACCCATATTTTGGGGATTTTGTAGTTGAGTCGCGGTTGTTCCTATCGGTTATTTATGAGATTTTTACAATTAAACTTATTACATCATGATTTTAATTCAAAATGAGTAGTTATTTTGTGATTCTTGGCCTGCCTAGTACTGTGATAGGCGTCATCACGACATGTTGAGATTTGGGTCATGAAAAGTTGGTAACAGAGCCTAGGTTACATAGGTCTCATGAGTCATGAGCAGGTTTAGTAGAGTCTTGCGGATCGGTATAGGAACGTCTGTAATTATCTTCGAGAGGCTACCGAATCATTAGGAAACTTCACTCGTGTATTCTTGCCTTGCGGATTTGTTGATTCCGGAAACTAAACTTCTATTACTCTATTCTCTCACATATGGTGCGGAAACGCGCTACCGGATCAGGCAAATGGCCACCAATACCATCAGCTAGGGCCACGAGAGACTGGGGTCATGGTAGAGGCTGAGGTGCCGCTCATACAGCAGCTAGAGCAGCACCTGTGGAGCCACCAGTTGCTCCAGCTTAGGAGTAGATACCATCTGTAGTTGAGCCGGTGAGACATGCTCAAGTACCAGCTGTGCCCATTGTGATTCCAGGCCATCGGGAAACTTTGGCCCAGATATTGACTTTATGCATTAGCCTTGCTCAGGCGGTTTCAGTTTAGGCTGTACTAGCCACTTCTCAGGCCGGGGGAGGTGCTCATACTCCCTTCGCCCGTACTCTAGAGCAGGTGGTTTAGGGACTTCAGACATCAGGGGTACTACCAGCCCAGCCGGTTATAGTTTCTCAGGCCCAGGTGGGTCCACCTATGAGTGACGGGGAGCAAAAGAGGCTAGAGCAGTTTGGGAGGCTCAGGCTTCCAACATTCAGTGGGGCTGAGTCAGAGGATGCTCAAGATTTCTTAGACAGGTGCCAGTGGATCCTTCACACAGCGGGTATTCTGGAGACTAGTGGAGTCTCAGTTACTACTTTTCAGCTATCGGGGGTAGCCTTCAGATGGTGGGAGGCCTATGAGTTGAGCAGGACAGCCAGCACTACACCACTTACGTGGCATGATTTCTTAGTTCTCTTCTTAAAGAAGTTTGTTCCACAGACCCGCATATAGGAGTTACATAGGCAGTTTAAGAAGCTACGCCAAGAGGGTATATCCGTGACCTAGTATGAGATGAGATTTTCATAGTTGGCTCATCACACGATCGAGTTGGTTCCCATAGAGAGGGAGAGGATTAGGAGGTTCATTGATGGCCTCAACTATCGACTGCGCTTCATCATGACTCGAGAGATTGCATCAGGTGTTAGGTTTGATGAGGTAGTTGATATTGTTAGGCGACTAAAGTAGGTCCATAGTCAGGAGCATGAGGAGAGGGAGGCCAAGAGGCCTCGTGGTTCGGGTGGTTTCAGCGGTGTTTCTTCTGGAGGGAAGTTCCACCACAATAGGGGTCATCCTTATAGGCCCGCTCAAATGGCTCGTCCGGTTCATCGTGGTGCATCGGCTAGCCATGGTTCATAGAGTGCTCGTCCGGGTCAGTCATCTCTTAGTTCCCTCCCAGCTCTGAGTTCATCCCGTGCTCCATCAGTTCAAGGGTCATCTGTACCGGATTCTTCTAGTAGCTATACTGGTTCTCATGGTTCGATTCAGTCTCCACCACCATTGGCGGATCAGAGCTACTTCGAGTGCAGGGAGTTTGGACATGTGTGGAGTTAGTGTCCCTATCATTTTGGAGGTCCAGTTCAGCAGAGGGGTCAGGTTATGACTTTCGCACTAGTTACTTCACCACTCGCTCAGCTAGCTCGAGGTGGGGCTCAGGCAGCTACTGGTTGCCCTAAAGGGGAAGGCTGGTCTGGTGGCGGTCAGGCTCGATGCTATGCTTTCCCTACTAGGCCAGAGACTATTGCTTCAGACGCAATGATCATAGATATTGTCTCAGTATGCTACAGGGATGCTTCGATATTATTTGACCCTGGTGCCACTTATTCATATGATCATTGTATTTTGCTAATATTTGGATATGCCCCGTGAGTCCTTAGTTTCGCATGTTCATGTATCTACGTCGGCGGGCGATTCTATTATTTTGGACCGAGTGTATCGGTCATGTGTGGTTACCGTTGAGGGATTGGATACTAGAGTTGATCTCTTATTGCTTAGTATGGTTGATTTTGATGTGATTCTGGACATGGATTGGTTGTCCCTATGTCATGCTATTCTGGATTGTCACGCTAAGACCGTGACGTTGGCGATACCTGAGTTACCTAGGATCGAGTGGAGAGGTTCTCTGGACTATGTTTCCAGTAGGGTGATTTCATATCTGAAGGCCCAATGGATGGTTGGGAAGGGGTGTTTGTCATATTTGGTCTTTGTGAGGGATGTTTGTACTGATACTCATACCATTCATTCTATTCCGGTAGTGCGGGACTTTCCGGATGTGTTACCTACAGACCTTCCGGGCATGCCACGCAAAAGGGACATTGATTTTGGCATTGACTTGGTACGGGGCACTCAGCCAATTTCTATTCCTCTGTATCGTATGGCACCAGCAAAGTTGAAAGAATTGAAAGAGAAACTTCAAGAGCTTCTTGATAAGGGGTTCATTAGGCCTAGTGTGTCGCCTTAGGGTGCACCGGTTCTGTTTGTGAAGAAGAAGGATGGTACCATGCGGATGTTGATGGTAGACTATAATCTCGTGTTTAGTTGTTTATTGCACTCTAATTCACTGCACTTTACTTGTGTTTGAGCTTTAATTAATAGTGTTTTGCACAAACTGTGTTTTCTATTCCTTATAGGAGTGATCCCGAGCTATGTAGATATTATAGAATGAATTCGAGCAATTTGGAGCTTTGAAGTCAGAGTAAAAGCCCAAGGGATTAAGCTGGGATTGTGTTCGGGGGTCGAGAACCAAGTCTAGACATCAAAAATCGAAGTTTAAGTCGTACTCTGAGAAAACCCCACTGTCGTGGCATGTGGGGCGCTGCAACTGCCTATTTCCTACTGCCTGTCAATTGTTGAGCTCTCTAGATTTCCCCACTAATGCCCCGCATGGCGCGTCGCCCCATGCGACACACCTGTGTATTTTTTACAGAGCCAATATCCTATTTCGGCTAGGAGAAGGTGGTTTCATTTGGGCCCAACCCTACTTAGTATAAATACATGGAAAAAATGTTATGTTTGGGACTTTCGACATACTTTGGACCTGAGAAGGCTAAGTCGGAGTTGGAAGAACACAAGCATAAGGATTTCATCATTCCTTCCTCACTCAAGACCCGTGTATGGATTGAATTTATGTTTTCTATAATTTAATTTTATCTGTGATGAATTCCTCCATATCTATGGAGTAGTTCTTTTTAGGGTTTGATGGATTTGGTATATTGATGATTGTTTGTGGATTATAACTCTAGTTTATGTATTGAATCATTTTTTGGATGAATTAATTATTGCATCTATAATCACTTATTCATGTAATCGAGAGAGGCATAATTTGTGATATCTTTGCATTATATTATTGGTTGAGTTCATAGATTCTTCTAAGTAATTGAAAGAGGCTAGTTGAATCATTTATTAAACCTAGTTAGGCGAATAATCGAAAGAGGTTCTCCTAAAGACCAATCCATTACGTATTCTTGCATATCTTCGCGTGCTTAAATTGGTTCATCTTTTGAGGTTAAGACTTAATCGAGAGAGGAGTTTTTCCTAACGTTTGATCTACTAATTGAGTGAATTCGAGAGAGTCACTTGAACATTAGAAATGAATTATCTAGAGTTAGATCCCAAACAATTATCTTGCATCTATTCTATCAAAACCCTATCTTCTCCCATTGATAACTTTATTTGCTTATTCCTTGTTTCGATTGTCATTAGTCAATAGGTTTAGATTCTTAGTTAATTTTAGTTAGACATCTTATAAATCTCAATTTTTGATCATCTTGGATAGCAACCAAGCTAGAAACTACGAGAATACTATTTAAATCCAATCCCTGTAGATACAATATTATACTATACTATATTTGATTAGCGAGAAGAATTTAAGGGTGTGTTTTGCACTCGTCAAATTTTGGCACCGTTGCCGGGGATTGGCAATCAATATTGTTTGAAATAGATTGTAGTGCAAATTCACGACTTTTTTTCTTTTTATTTCTATTTTCTCTTTTTACATTTAGTGTTCTTTGGTTGTGCGCAGGTTATAGGTTAAGGTTGGTGCATGACTCGAGCTTATGCGAAAGAAGTGATACCATACAAGCCAGAGATAGAAAAATAATCGTTATAGCTGAGGAAGGCAATAAATCTCACCGAGACATTAGAAAGGGTTGGGCAATCCTCAACCAAGGAAATTATGACGGGAAACGGTGATGATAATGTAGATTTGGCTGCAAGAGAGGCAGCCTAACAATGAGAAAAAGCTGCACGGGATGCTGAGGAAGCAGCTATCAGAGAAGCATAAATTATCTATGAAGGAGAGAGGGGTGAGAGAATTGCTCAAAATCAACCCTTGGCTGCAGACCAGTTCGGAAATATAGCTCCCATGCCTGGGAGATCACTGGGCATCATTCTAGACCGATCTACAATCAAGGCTTATCAAGTGTGAGAGCACCTCCAAGTGCAGCTAACAATTTCGAATTGAAGCAAGGGTTGCTTCAAACCCTTCAGAATTGCTATGTTTTCAAAGGGAAGATGAAAAAAGATCCAAATACATATCTAATAGACTTCAAGGAGATTATGAACACCTTTCAATACAATGGTGTGTCACAAGACGCAGTATACTTAAGGGCATTCCCCTTCACACTCAAAGATGATGCAAAGCAGTGGCTTCGAAGCTTACCCACGGTGTCAATTAGAACATGGGAGGAGATGACCAGAAAATTTCTTGATAAATATTTCTCCTGAGCTAAAATGGGCAAGTTTAGAAGAGAAATCCATAACTTCTGCCAGAAAGAGACCGAGACTATTATCAAAGCATGGTAGAGGTTTAAGGAGATAGTTAGAAAGTGTCAACATAATGGAATTGAACTTTGGATGCAACTACAGGACTTTTGAGATGGATTGACATCGGCCTCATGTAGAACATTGAGCAATGCATCTGGAGGC